CTCTGCACACTTTTCAGAAATAGCATCATCTTACTGGCAGAGCAGACTGTATAAGAAACACTTTGAGTCCCATGCCCTGGAACTGCCACCATCTTGAGGGCATACTAGCTGCAGTTACTGGCTGATGCCTGGCTGCGGTTACCGGATGCTGACTCGGCGTTGGTTTTCAAATGCGTAGAAGAGTGACGCCAACAGAAGCACCTTCACGACCTTGTGCACCTCGATTCGTACGAAGATACAGGACCAGCGCTCTCCTGGTTCGGTTCCATCACCGAAGAAAGCACATGAAAGCACAAAAGAAGGATCTTGAGCAGTCACTTTTGCGTAAATGGGCCTATAAACTGAAACACGTTGTCATCTGCTCACCCTCTATCTAGCCCTTTTCCCAAAATCACACAAAAACTGCAAACACATTCCGGTCTCCATTTGAGAGGCCAGTCGACTGGTCTACCTGCTTTTCACAACTTTGAGCCGAATGGCAGCCATGAGTCCATCCGGGGACTAATGACAAACATGCTTAGCATTCTTAAATCTTAACTATATAATTATTTAGTCTATCGTCAAGCATTAACATGCATTAACTGTGCCTATATATAGCGTGTTGCCAAATCAACAAGACAATCTCTTGACTCACGGTCACTGACGAAAAATAAAAGAACACGGGGCAGTATGTTTGTTTGAGCTCCACGCGAAGACGAATGGAATCCACAAAACGGAGGATCGGATTGGCACCTGATGAATGTCGCACAAGGACGGCGCGTCTCTCGAGGGCCGTGAACGGGCGACCGGTGAATAGTGGCGCTTTTGGACCCCCACATACATGGCGACCTCAGAGATGTCTGCGCGAACTGCGGTCACCGGCGTCTGAGATCTTTGAGGCTTCAGCCATGGTCAGAATCGCATCAATTCCCAAGAGCATGAAAATGTCAGATCCTTGGAGCAAAGCACAATTGAACCTATTCCCAGCCTTTAAAAAACTATAACGGAAGTTTTTCGGCTGCCCCTGAAAAATTGAAAACTATCTGAAATGTCCAAGAACTCGCGTATGTGGAGCTTGGCACATCTCAAACTACGCAGGAGTTCATCTAGTTTCTATTGAAACCCTATGTCATAGATTTAAGAGACATCAGCTTGAGAGCGTTGCTTAAAAGCTCAAGTAAACCCAAGAAAAACCCAACGGCTGGGCATCAAAAACCGCCTACCAGGCAATGGCACCATCGCAGGTTCATCGGCAAGTGCACGTCATGTCTTTGCCAGACAACGTTCTTCAGTGTGCCACGCGAGCATGAGCAGACCAACACGGCGCATAGCATATACCGAGTGCCCACATATGTGCAAGCACAACACTGCCTGCAACACGAGCAAGAACCAGCAAACCTCCTGGCCGAACCCATTCTGGGGTCTGCTAGCAAGTCAGTGCGACAGCATGACCCGACTGCAGCATCTCAGCGTTACAACATGTTAGCCGCGTGACCGACGCCAGCGCGCCAGCATGACAACATGTCAGCGTGACAGTGGCACTGCACAAGCACATCAGCCTGACAGCACGAACCATGGCAGCGTCTCGCCGTGGCTACCCTGCAGCACATCAGAGAAACACAGCGTCTCTACAAGTTCTCTGGAAAACTTCACCAGCAGCTGCTGCGGAAGCTCTGGAACTTCCTCCGGCACCCCCTCCGGCACCTGTTTGGCAATGTGCCCTGGGGCTCGCTCCGGACCCCGCTCCGGAATCCCCTTGAACTTGCTGCGGGGCCTGCTCCGAACTTGGTCTGGAAGCTGCTCCGAAACTTCATCTGTAACCGCACTGTAACCTCCTTCAGCACCTGTTTGGCAATGTGCTCCACACCCCGCTCCGGAGCCTGCTCTGGAACTTGCTTTTAGAACTTGCTCCAGAACCTCCTCAGGCAGATGTTTGGCACAGTCCTCCGGAACCTGCTCCGGGACCTGCTCCGATCTGCTCCGAGGTCTTTACTAAGGCTGAAGAACCCTAAGCTTCGCTAAGCCTTGCTGTTAAGAAAGAAATACTTAAATACATAATAACATATACCAATAATTACTAGCAATAAATTAATCCATGTCTGATGCGATCAATCACCTCGAGGTGCTGGCCCCTGGGATTGTGCGCCCAAACTGTTGTTGGATCAGCGCCCACCTGACTGCAGGTCGCACGAACTGTTTGGGAGAGTGGCTTGACTGCTTCACCCCACTGAGGCGCTGGCCACAAAAGGAAAGTGCCAAAAGTTGGCAAAAGCTGTGGAAAAGAGGAAAATGGACACCTCGACGCGCCAGTGGAGTAGAATGGAAGAATGAAGAGAAGGAGGGGTAGCTCTTTTTTAAGGAGCAAACGACTACGACAAAGAATGCCTCCCAGTTCCATTGTGCAAGGTAACCTGCGATATGACGTCTTTTTGACTGTATAACAAACAAGAGCTCTTCACAAAACTAGATCAGCGTCCCTCCTTTGCAAAAGCGAACGCAGCCGCAGACAATAAAGCTCAGCCTCGGCTTTTCAGCACACAAGGCTGGACAGCGCCCATCACTTCACAGGATCATTCGATGACCAAGGCGTTTGATGGCCAAGTGACATCAGGACAAGGTTCAGAGACCAAATGATGAAGACCTGGAACCCATGCGAACCCGCCCAGGCGCCAAGCTGACGTGAAAGTTTGTGAGTGGACTGGAAGTTCTTCAAATCGCAGGCAGGGTGTACCCAATCTCTCACACCAAAAGTTTCTCCAAGCGGATCTTGATCTCTGGACAGTTCACGCCTCAATCCACTCACCCAGCATTGAAAAGTGCATGGAATCTGTCCGCAAAACCAAGCATTGTAGCTTATGTGCAACAATGAATGGAATCCAATCAATTGATGTCAACGGTCACCCCACCAATCGGCCAATACTAGGCCCAAAATTCTCTTTATGTCTGCAGTTCCGGTGAAACTCACGAGTCGGCCTTAAAGCTCAAATTGCCTAAACCGCTTCTCCCCCAGCTCACGTTTAGCCCGCAAGGTCATCTCATAGTTGCTGCCAATCAGAGCTGTCGCTGATCCTGCCCGCTGCAGCATTCCGCTTGATGCAGGCCTGTCAAAACGTCTGCTTTCTGGAGAAAAGTTTTTGTTCAACAGCACAAGTTGCTCAAGGCAATAGAGCTGGTGCAATATATAATAGGGAAATCAAGTTGGATTTGTATCAAACCATAGGTCTCAGGAATGAAAAAATCCCACTCTGAGGTCGCTGCGGTCGCTCGCTCCGCTCGGGTCGATAGGGCAGATTGCCCCGGCTGCGTGCATTGTCGATGATGAGGATATCATGGTTGTTGCGGGAGCCAACCACCGAGGTGACACCAGACCCATAGGGCCAGTAGCAGGAAGCTCTCGTACTTCGGATGGTGGTGCATGGTGCTACCTCCTTCGGCTGATGTGCCTGAAACCAAGCACCATAGCTATTGAAGACGTGCCCTTCACAGATCGGATCTTCTCGGGAGATGAAGGCACCAGGCAACCGTTCACATGGTGCAGGATTCTTCAGGTACGGAGTGAGAAAAGCCATGGGGCCCAGTGGTTCAGTGGTTCAGCCACTGTTCTCCTTGTCTCAAGAGAGACTTGTCGGTGAAACTTCTCAATCATGAGACTTGATGCTTAAGGCGGCGGGTCATTCAAATACTACGACAGCAACTGGTGGAGGTACTTCCGCTCTTGTATGAATGTTACTGCAAACGCACAGACGTCTAACACGAACAAATCTCCAGAAGACTCCTGCGGGCGTCTGAGCCTTCTTCTAAGATCCGTACGTCAAAGTTGGGACCGTTGCAAATAGTGTGGCTGTCGCCGCACACCTGAACACTTCAAAGGCTGAGGCGCCGCCCAAACCGGGGCCTCTGTCGTAACACGTACTCATCAAGCATAGACTCTGTTCTGTGGTCACGACCCGATGCAAACCAATCCTCCAAGAATAACATCATTGACCAAACCTGCGATTCTCAAAATCGAACAAAGCAACTTGCAACTGTTTTGCACTGTGCTCCGTTCATGTCATGGTCCGACAGAATCCCACCCCCCCAAAACCCCTGCCTTGCTTGTATCGCTGCTCCTGCGGTTCTCGCGCCAGCGGCGAGAGAACACCACTCAACACGAGACACGTCGACACGCGTCGACTCGGCCGACCCGACCGGGGTTCGAAGGGCCTGATCTGGGTGCTGAAAGCGCAAGTCCAAATGCCGCAGAAGACTCCTGCCGTAGGGGAGTCTTAAACGGACGGACTCGTCTCGGACGGACTCGTGAAGTCCAGTTTCTCCAAGAAGCACTCAAAGTGATGCATGGCAATAGACGCTTATCCACTCTGTAGTACCAGATTCGACTCCTTTCAAGAGTCTTTACCGAACAAAATCACTGCAACATGTTCAATGCACCTCCTCTGGCTGGTTTCATTCCATTCTTGATTTCGTATATTTACCTCAGAAACTCCAGATCCAGCGAAAAAAAAAAATTGCCCTGCGCGTTGGACGACCTACGCGGCTCCAAAATCTCGAGGCTCCGCGGTGAGAGTTCGACCCGTCCGACACGACGGTCCCGTCCACAGCCAGGTTACGACGTCAGACTCACCTCTGGGAGATGCCCAGGTTGTCATCCCGATCGAATGACGGAAGCACGCAGTCGTTCGGCTCAATAGCAGTCGGACGTTGTGCTGTGTGCTGTGCTAGCTGGTAGCATGGTATGCTCTGTGAATTGCATGGCCCTCCGAATGGGCTCCTCTGTGAATCACCATAGTTGTGAGAAATGCCCTTTGAAGAATGTAACAGCGAAGGACGTGTAAAGAATTCAAGAATTCCTGGGAGCTGAGATCTAGTTCTGTATCTCTTTTTATCCTATCATGTCCCATCTTTCGAGCCTCTGTCTGACAGCGACAAAAGATTCGTAGAACGACAGCGAGATCTTCGTCCAGTGAATCGATCAAGCTGAAGTGAAGATCCGCCGAAACGAAGGCTGGAAAACGATGTCTGGCCTTTCGCAAGTGGGTGAAAGCTCCCCACAACGGCCTTTGCCAGGTAGCAAAGCCATCTCGTCCTGAGAGGAAGGAATGCCCCCCTTGTGAAAGGTTGCACAGCAATGTGGTTCCTGGGGCGTCTTCTAACTTCGAAGTCTTTCCCTGATATATGTTCACCGACTTGCTTTCGTTTCCTCTTGGGTCTCAATATCATCTTGTTCAGGGCAAGAATTTGCTGCTTCGTACATACCACCCCTCCTCCAATGACAGTAGCTGCTTCGTGGCCATGGCGTTTTCAGCAACTGCTTCGTGTCAGAGACAGAGACAGAAAAAGAAGAAGTGAGGATTCAGGATGGATCAACCACCCTGATCAACCCAAGGAACCTGGATGCTGGATTCGACAGAGATTCCATGGGGATGCCGCACCGGCCAGGCGATTGATACCATGTGCGGATGTGCGGATTGGCCTCGCTCATTGAGCCAGAGTTGCTGGGGGCACGAATGGTCTGCAAGAGCTCAGTCATTGCTATGCTTCCAAATCAGGTGGCTGCTAGCTGCTCTGCAGAATCTCGTTTTGCGGCACTAAAGTAATGCGTCCTTCAGACACCCTCACCTTCCTCAGATGATCCTGAACAAAAGGCACGAAACGACAACAGCATACCAAGGAAAATAAAAAGAATTGCACAGGTTCGACGAATGGTCCAAAAGTGTTGGTGGTGTATTTCATTTCTTCCGGTCTCCGCGTGAACCCAAACTCAAGTCGTCCGCCTTCGGGGGCATCCACACGATAGGAGGCCGAAATGTCTGCTCGTGAGGATGGTGCATCTCGGCTAAGATACCTGGCAACGTCCATCTGGGAAACATCAGGTCTTCGGAACAGCGGCCAGTGGCGAGTGGCGTCAGTTTGAGTCCCACACTTCAAGAAACGCAGAGTCTTATCATCCCGCATCACCAGGCAAAGAGCATTTGGAAGTGCCGGAAGATTCACCTGCCATGTCCATCAAAGCAATTTGTGAATCATCCATGGTTGGAAGCCCAAAAACACAAATACCGACCTAACATAAGAAGACAACTTACTCAAAGTTCTGATTCGCAGTGCCAGCTTTTGATGTGGGGAGCTCGGAATCGCATTCAGAGATCTAACCGATCCAAGAAAGAGAGAATTTCGAGCCAGCAGTCCGTTCAGGCTGCATGTTGGAGACAAATTACTGGCAACACTGCCTGAAGACTTGCAGTGACTTGCACTTTGCTCTTTCAGAAAGTTTTTGAAGAGGCAATTGTCTTCATTCCCTCTTGGAAAACCTTTGTCAGACAAATCTCATGAAGCCGATTGAAAATGAGCAAAGGGATTGGATCTGCAGAATTGAATTGTCAACTGTCTTCTCACCAAGATGCCAGCAAGTTTCTTTGAAACTGCGACATCATGGATGCGTTACTAGCCACACCTCTAGCACTTCACGTCTGGTGTCCAGGCCCCTTTGTACACATAAACTTCTTACGCGGGAAGGTCTAGGCCTCAGACACAAACTGAATCCGCTGGACCATGGATTCCTCTCGACGCTGAGGCCATGGCGAGAGCTGACCCTCTTCAGCGTGAGGCCTCTGTTCACACGACACGGAAAATTCTTCGACCACCAGCAGCACACACACTTTGGAGACACTCCGGAAAACTCACAAGGACCCTGGCATCGCTACTAGGAGCGATCGGACGCTACGAACGGGGCTCCTGGCCTTACTACTAGTATATAACAAAAATGCTACTAGGGACCCTGAGATGTTGTTCCTTTACAAACCTATGTTAGTTTTCTATGGACAACAGGTCCAACAGCGGCAAGCCCGAGTGGTGCGTTTGGTGCGGCGACATGCAGGGACAGCGGCCACGAGTCGGACCGGTGGTGTTGGCCGAGCCGTCGATTGCGAAGAGTCCAATGGTGCCACCCAGGGCTGGGCTGACACCCTGCAGGGCTGACACACGCGGATGCTGTTTTGCTTGCCATGTCCAACCCCTTCGAAGGGCTTTGATAGGGAGACACGTCTCAGTGTCCAAACTCAACACGGCAAAAGCAGCATGCTGCATGCGATGCCCGTCACTCGTATCAATTGAACTCTTGCAGCAACGTACTTCCTTCTTAGCAACGCCCGTATGTGCAAAGCGCCAAGCATCAGCTTCGAGCGACGCAACGAAGACCTTACCGTAGACACTCCTCATTCAAGGGGTTCAAGGTTTAGTTGTGGTATGTCTTTTTCAACATGTTTTAACCAATCTCGAACTACAGTCTGCCTGCCGGCCGTCGTTCAACTGCCACCACCGCGTCACAGAGTAGGTCCCAGCTGTCCGACAGAATGTGGTCGTGTGGTCGTGAGATTCTGCGTTGCCAATCCGGGCCGCCACCATTTTCTGAAGAGGCCACCCTTTTCAAAAGAGGAAAGTGCCAAAGGCACATAACCAAACACTGGACACAAGCCCAGTCATGCCCTAAACACCTTCGATTTTGGTGTAAAGGCAAGGTTGATGCAATGTTTGCAAGTATCCACCAACTCAGCACTAGTTCAAGGCAGACGTGAAACACGACGGAAGAAGTTTGCCACCCTAAACACTCTCGTCAAAACCGAGGCAGTGCATCGCTGGGGCCGTGGCGCAATTCCTGGGGGTTCTGAAAGTCCCACTCAGTCCACTCCATCTCCAAATCCTCCAGCAGATTTGGAGCAATCTGAGTATATAGTTCAAAGGGAGAGGTAGGAGCAAAAACAGTTGAAAGCAGATTACAAACCAATCTATTTAGACCCTTGGAGGGCACCCCTTCAACGGGCAAAAGGCAGTACAAAAATGCTTTTAGATGAAACGGACTTGTTTCCGGGCTTGGTTGCAACCCATCGCCGTCACATTTTTCAAGAAAGCACAAAGGTTTACCGCAAGAACCTCACATGCCGGCCCCACGAAACTCACCAACGCAGGTTGTGTGAAGCCAGCGAAACGTGGGTCCAGCCTCGGAAAAGTAAAACAAAATCAGGAAAACCGGAAAGCTCCGGCCCCTCGCAATGGGGCGCTGACTCTCGTAAATCCAATTGCTGGATTTGTTCCTCGCTCGAACGAACTGCATCCAGATCCACCGGATCTGGCACAAGTCGGCTGTCAGTGTGGCCTGCAAAGATCGTGCCAGATTTTGGATCAACTGGTCCGGGAACGCCGCAAACCTCATTTTCGGACGCGATTGAAAACACAATGAACGACGCTTCGTCCGGGATTGTGAACTTGTGAACCTTCGGCTGCTCAGCACTTGGCACGCGAACGAAGTGACAGGAATTTGCAGTCACTTCCATTTGAAAGACCACGGCAAAGCGCCTAAGCAAGAAGCTCCATCAGTACAAGAAGCTCCATTCGCTCCCAAGACTTGCAGCCTTGCCACATGCTGGGCATCTTCAGGTCAAAACTATATCCATCCAAAGACACCTAAAGCAGAACATCTCCCAAACAGAAGGAGGAGCCTTGCCCCCGTAACTCTTGCTGCCCCAACGCTTGGACAACAAGATCTTGATGCATGTTTTATCCCGGATGTGCCTCAAAGGGATCGAGATCTATGGGCAAAACCAATGGCAAAGGCTCATCAACTGCCTTGGAGAATCATGCCAGCCACGATAGCCGATAGCATCTTTCTTGCGTGATCAAATCTTACAGTGTATGCTGTATGCATAAATCACCATTTATGCCTGAGAAGGGAATAACAAATGCCAATGTGGCTAGCCGTCAACAAAACCACCGTCAAATTGTGGCAACCGATTGCGCGTCATCCAAATCGTTCATACTGGGCAATCTCTATTCCCCTTCCTGATGCATTTTCTGTATACCAACTGTCATAAATCTGCCATCTTCTGCATCGATCAGTTTGTGGGTCAATGACTCAATGAAACGAACAACACCGATACAGTAACACCATACACTTGCGAACCATTTTCGTAGATTCCAAACAAGTTTGGAGAACCTGGAAAGGTTATGGCACTCGAAAGCACAAGGCAAATCCGGAACAAGAAAACGACAAACAAAGGCAAATACAACATCAATGAGTGGAGACATCTATCCGGGTCCGACTGCTCGCAGTCAACGTCCAAACATATCTACCTAAGATCTCTGCACGGACACGGACACACTCCACACGCAACATGGAGAGGACCTTCCAACATGGAGAGGACCTTCCACAGAGCGATAAGGCGGCAACAGAAAAGTGCACTTGAAGGCACCTGTACTTGTGTGCAGCAAATGTTGATCCTTACGGGGATGTCTGTTTCCTCTTGTGGGTGGTTGCCTTTTTCAGTGTGCTGCAAACTAGCCTGTGGTTCGCATATCCGATGAAACATGGCTGAAATGCGGGGACCAGAACAATGGCAACAAATCACGAACATCGGGACCTATTATTGCCCTGTTGAGACCAATAAAGAGAGTCGTTTAGATGAGCAGTGATTGCTAGTCTTAAGGCATTTTACCAGTTAGATAGTGAAACAATCCACCCTCACATGTTGTTCGTCTGCATAAGTCTAGTGCACAGTGCACAATGCTGTAAATCCCGCGACTCTGGACACACGTTGAGACCATCGATGGTTGTGGATATCAGCTGAAGGCACAGCATTCACTGCAGAGAGCAGCCAGCGTCTTCGCAACAGGTGGCACATTGAACCTTACAAAGAAGAAATTGCCCGGCATCTGCAGGTGGCTTCAGAAAGTCCGCCATAGCGTCCATGACACTGTCGCATTTAAAAAACCTGAGCGTCCAACTCCACCATGATTGTTGCTTGGACGTGACCTCGTGAAAGTCATAAGACTTCACCATCTCCTTTCGACATCTGAAATCGGAACTCATCTGCTGTCGGCTCCCCACACTTCTCAGCAAATAGTCGCAGGCGTGAGGGCTAAGCCTGGCGATGGACGAGATTTGCCTCCACCCTCGGTGGATCTACTATCATCGAGTCAAAAAAGGATGCAACATTCTGGTATCAAACCAATGGACGAAAACATCAAAACACCGAAATCTTCAGCCAAAATGTTGGAGAACGATTCCTGTCTCACCAAAAGGTCAGGACTTACGGAGTCCTGACCTGACGACCCGCGATGACCCGCGGGTCGTCCTCCCGCGATCTCTCGAAACACGCCCACGCGATCCAAACACCTCTCCACCGCTGCAGGAGGAAGCTCCAAGACCTGGGGGGTGCACATGGACTGCACTCTCGTGTGGCACATGGACTTGGAACGAAGGACAAGCTGGGGGACAAAAGGACCAAGTGGGGAAAAGAGTACGAAAGTGTTCATGAAAACAAGTCCGTTGTATTCTCAAAGACCAAGAGTTGCAAGGACAGATGCTGTGTGATGCTTTGCAGTTAAGGAGACGACCAAAGCTCTAAGGGCCAAGCAACACCGCCACCCCTAGCAGTCTGCTTTGCGCCTCGAATGAAAGCGATGCCATTTCGTTTAGCACGCGTGCGTTCGTGATGGATGACCTCTCATCTGTATCATGATCAAAGGAACAACAACCAGAGTGGTTCGAAAACCGCAACTGTTCTTTGAGGCTGCAACTGTTCTTTGAGGCTTAGGTCCAAATAAAGGTACCAATCTTTGAACAGCTTCAAATCGCTTCCACCCTTTGCAACTCATGTGCTGCTGGGTTGCCTTCCTCCTTGATCCCCGAATTTGAAGTGCTTGAGCCTCCTCCAAAGCACGATCTTAGCTCAAAACGACTCAAAAGGAGTCGGAGGGGGGCTTCCAGTAGCCCAACAGCTGTGTTCATCTCCCTGTCTGTTCCCAAACTTCCTGTCAAGTGTCTGAGATGCATCTAAATGCATTCTCCTGATTCTGATGGAGAGCATGGCTGCGGTGGTTGAGGTGCAACAACTACCTTTGGCTGGCTGCAACAGAGCCGGGGCAAAGCAAAGCGAAAACAAAAAGCCAATCGAATACAAACATCCAGGGCTTGGTCTCATGGTGGAATTCCCTAAAACTAGGTGCTTATCAGACTCCAAGATATGCTCGCTTCAGCCCAGCACCGAAAACCATCTTCGTGAATTGCCCTCACTGATGGAATCTATGACATTCCTGCCAAGATGGTCAAGCTGCGCGCATGTGCGTTTTCATGCATACTTGCCTTCTGCAAACATGACCATCCAAATTTACCTCAAACCGTGCTGCCTCACCATAGAATGAGCAACTTGAGCAGCTCCAGCCAGGCAACCAGCTGCACATGCTCCTGCACCAACCTGACCAGGGCACCGAAAAAAGCCTGCTCTGTTTTCGTTTAACTGTGGATCAATGAATCGATCCGATGCAACCTTCTGATACTATCCTGGTGCCGGCGGTGTTCGTCGTCGAGCGATATGATTATGTCTGCACTTCGCCTTGGCAAAGCCACAAACGCCAGCAACAGCGGCGAAGGACCAGCACGTGGTAGCCGCTGGCGCTCGCCTTTGAGCGTCAAAGGGAGCATGATTCGTCTCTATTCATCTCTACGCGGTCTTTTGTGTCTTCGGTTTCTGTCTTCGGGTCAGGTTCACCAAACCAACCGATTGAAGCATGCTTCCGACCGATGGCCTCCGCTTGAGTCGGATGGGTCCAGGAGCGTCCAGAAATCGATGCTGCACCTCAGTGGGTCGAAGAGAAACCCAGCAAACTGGTTGGAGTGGACCTGACATCATTAGGGACGCTACTAGGTGGAAGCCATTACTATACTAGCAGCAAGAAGCTACTAGTAACTTCAAGCAAATGATTTGACGTGGCGAATCGATTGGGCACTGGAGAGTCATGTTTTTCTATCACAGACTTCCGCTCATACTTGAGCCACTCACGGTGATGTCCGGAAAGGCTTCCTGGAGCTCCTGGCAGAAAAATCTCTGATCAAGTCTCATCATCCAACGTCAGCGGAACGAGCCACCTTCTTCTCAACTGTGCTCAAAGGCGGAAGAGATCTTGGAGAGAGCCTTAGGAAATCAATAACCTGCAAGTTGTTTGCTGTGGAGGTTGTTGCACCACATTTCAAGGATCCCACAAGCGCCACGAGATACTTTCCTTCAAAAAGGCAGAATTGTTTCCAATTTTTCAAAACATGCCAAGGTCAGTAATCCTCTTGCAATCTCAGACAAGTACTTCGAAGTAGCTCAAACCCAGCAAAACCTCTTTTGGGTGCAACGGCGGTCTCTCGCATGTATAGGAGCCTTGGTAGCTCTTTTATTGATTAATGTATTCGGCTGGAGGCCACAAATTGTACACATTCTGCGCGGGGTGTGTTTCAAAGGACATCTCTGAAAGCTCCGTCGAATAGCGGAGAAAAAACTGAATGCTTCACCTGTACAAGTAGCCAGCCTTGCGAAGTACTCAGTACGGGCATCGGACCGGCTCTGCTTGAACATCATCTCTAGGCGGCCGATCAGGCGACCGGAACTCGGTCTAAAGGTGGCCGATCGCGGGCACTTCAGCCATTTCAGCTGTGCTGTCCACTTCAAAGTAAGCCCTCGAGCACTTCTACTCCCTTGCAAGCTCGTACGACATGAACGGCGCACTTGTCCTTACGAAGGCTAGAAGGGCAGGGTGAGGAAACGGAATGAGCTGTTCACTGTCCGACTCTGACAGAGCATCCTAGCAATTCATCGATCGCACAGTGTAGTATTCTCTCACAGTCTCCGGTGGCACATCTCGAAACCATCCTCTGACAGAGAGAATGCCACCGGTGACTAAAAGTATATCACCTTTGTGAAGACAAACCAGAGCCACGAGTCAGCCAGGTCAGGGTACGAGCGCTTGTAGCCAGTGTCCACAGCATTGCGGAGAGCTTGCTCAGCGTCCGGTCGCAAGATAGCTCCAGATGCACCCTATTTGGATCATCAAAATGAAAAAGCAACCCAGCAAACCTCGTTTGATCTTTATCTTATTACACTCTTAGCTATTGTTCCAAGTGTATCTATACCGACGGACTCAAACATAGAATGCCGGCCAATTGTCCAAAATGCCGGGGGGAGACTTAGAATGCCGGCTCGGAGGGCTATCTTAGAATGCCTACATATTGAGTTTTTTTGGTATCTACCAGACCCATTCCAAGTTTCAGTCCGTAATGCCATACACCAAGCAAATATGGAATGCGGAGCCGGTTAAATGATGTGTTACATACATGACAATATGGCAGTGTAGACTGTGCCTTGGAAGGAGTAGCCGTAGAATACCCCGTAACAGACACAGTGCCAAAGAGGCATCTGACTAGGAAGGGATGCGGAAAAGGCAGAAAGTTCAAAGGCTAAGTCAAAGAAGGAAAAATAATCACAAGGAGGAACACAGGAAGGAACTAGGCAAGAAAGGGACGAAAAAGGGCAAAGAGAGGAAATGAAGGATTGGAAGGAAACCAGAATGGCAGAAAAGGATCAGAAAGGGTATGCACACTTATTGGAGTTCCACCACCCGTAGGCATAGATTGCTTGTAAGAACTGTGTGGGAAAGCTTTGTGCAGGGACTGGCCACGGAAATTTGCACCGAGAAGTAGACTGCGGACTGCCCACTTAGAATGCATCAGGCTGGCTCACGACAAGGAAGGGAAGGCACATAGAAGGCAAAGCAAGGAAGAAAGGGAAGGCAAGGAATTGACCGCGGAAAGGAAATGGGCAGGCAAAGAAAAAATCACACGCAAACTAAATGAAAAGAACGAAAGGAAACCGGAAAGGAACACCCGCAGGAATGGAATGAACACAAAAACCATCAGACATAGAATGCCACCGCCCAAAAACCATCAATCACAGTATGGTTGTTTAAACTGTGCCTTGGAAGGAGTAGCCGTAGAATACCCCATAACAGACACAGTGACGGGGAGGCTTCAGACAAGGAAGATAGCAAAGTGAGTCAAGGCAGGAAAGGGGATATATACAATTGCGAAGATCACAGGAAGGAAACATGCAGGAAGGGCGAAAGGAAAGGCAAGGAAAAGAAATCAAGAATCAAGCATCAGAAGGGAACGGGGAAAGAATGACAACTTTGAATAGACTGTGCCTGGCAAAGAGTAGACGTAGAATATCCCACAGCATGTATACGTCGCGTGTCTGACATAGCACGGAAAATGCACTAAAATAGCAAATATGGAATGCCACATCTTACTGCAAAATGCACGCTTTTGGACGCCTGAAACTTAGAATGCCTCAATTCATGAGATATAACAAGCTAAATTTGGTTGCAGTTTTGCGTGGAAATCCACAGGCGTTGGCTCACAAGTGGTTTTGGGAGCTTTTTTGATTGTGTAAATGATGGGTTGGAGTATCCATAGTGTAGATGATGTAGAGAGAGTGATGTGAGGAATGCATTTGTGCTGGTTGGCCTGACCTTGCTTAGGAGAAGCCAAGAATGTGCGTTTGGACACGAATGATTGCCAAGTAGCTCAATGTTCGGACCGGCAAGAAACGGAAGGAAACTGGAAGAGAACACACACACACCGGATTGGAATGACAACAGCTAAACTTAGAATGCCACAACCACCCAAAACCCTAAATCGCAATATGGCTGCGCGGTGTAGACTTTGCCTTCGAAGGAGTAGCCATAGAATACCCCAAAACAAACACAGTGCCAAAGAGGCATTTGACAAGGAAGGGATGCCCGGAAAAGGCAGAAAATTCGAAGGCAAGTCAAAGAAGGGAAAAAGACACACATGTAGGAACACAGGAAGGAACTAAGGCAAGAGAGGCAGAAAAGAAAGGCAAGGACAGGAAGTACTGCCAAGGGAACACACCGCACACTTTTAATCCAGCCACCCAAAACCATGCATTACATGTGAAGACTGTGTGTGGGAGCTTTATGCATTGAAAGGGCAAAAACGTGGCAGGTACAGTGTAGACTAGATTGCTCACTTAGAATGCCCCATAACAATGACCATGTGAAGGAGGCCGGCTCGCTACAAGGAAAGGAAGCGGAAAAAAAACAGCAAATAGGAAGGGAAAGAAAATAGAACGGGAGAAAGGCAAGGAATTGACCGCGGAAGTGACATTGTGCAGGCAAAGGCAATATAAGGCAAACTAAAAGAACAAAGGGGAAGGAAGCCGGAAAAGAGCACACGCCAGCATGAAATGAGAACCATCGAACTTAGAATGCCACCACTCAAAACCATCAATCACAATATGGCCGTGTAGACTGTGCCTTCGGGGGTAGTCGTAGAATACTCAGGAAGGCACGCGGAACAAAGGCAAATCAAAGAACGGAAAACAAAACACAGGAAGGAACTAGGCACGAGAGGCAGACAAGAAAGGCAAGGACAGGAAGGATTGGAAGGGAATGGGTTACCGCACACTTACAGTATAATCCAACCACACAAAAATATACATTACTGTGAAGACGGTGTGCGGGAGCCTTATTGAGGGAAACGGTGCAGTGTAGACCCCATAACAGCAACAATGTGAAGGAAACCAGCTCGCCACAAGGAAACATCCCCATTCCTTCACTATTTAAAGATTGGCCGTAGCCATATTGTGATTTGGGTGGTGGCATTCAAAGTTTGATGATGTTCAATTCATTCTGGCGTGTGTTGTTTTACGGTTTCCTTCCGCTCTTCTCGTTTAGCTTGCCTGTAATTTCCCCTTTGCCTGCCCATCTCCTTTCCGCGTTCAAATCCTTGCATTTCTCTGTTTTCCCTCCCAATGCAAAGGTAGAGAAAGGAAAGCGTTTATACACACGTATATGCACGTTTTTCAAGCTTCCACAATATTCCTAACACATTTAAGCAGTATATACATGCACATATGGAAATCTTCCCCTTGGAGAGCAGCACATGGCTTTTCCCTGAGCCAAAGTTTATTCAAGTTGATCCAAGTTTATGTAAGATCATCAGCACGGTTTCACGGTACCGGGGGGAAAAGGAATTCCCCCGGATCAGGATTTCCAAAAATGCATTCTAAGTTCCAGTCCGCTAGTATATCTCATTCTACCTCTCTTTCCACTTCAAAACTCTGTACAGTACCTGTCTATCTGCTCCCTCTCTAATTGCCTTGTCACCACCGCCAAGCATACGCTCGCCAATCACACCAGGTATAGTTCGAGCGATGTTGACCATGGTCTGGAGAAATGGCTTTAAAGCGCGCAACGGCACAAAGCGTTGCTCCACAACAGAGAAAATCTTTACTTCAGACATGCACAGGTCAAAAGGCTACTGCGTGGCAAGTGAAGTTGCCCTCGATGCCTCTAGTTCTGGTCCTGAGATTTGATATTCATCACCTTGGGAGCCACGTTCAAGGTGGCAACGTTCAAACTCTAAAGCTGAGCCCAGCTACGCAGACCAATTCCATCACGCCGGAAGATGGCACCTACCTCAGTGTAGGTCATCACTCATTACATGAACAAGAACCATGCCCTCGGGAAAAGGATTGTCCATAGGGTTCTTACATCATGCCCTTCTCGCATGTAATTTCACTTTGAATCCACGCCTCCTCGATCTTTCCTTCCCTCCAGGCTTTCACCATGCCCTCAAAGCGCTCCTCAGATACCAAAATGCCAAACATGAAGCGGCGACCAGCAGAACTTGTCAGGACCCCACCTGTGCAAAGAAGATGTACTCCAGTCTCTCACAGAGATTGGGATGACTTTTGCCAAACTTGGCCAATATTTCATCCTTGGTCTTCGTCACTACATCAATCCTCCCATAATCTGTTTTCAGCAGTGTTGGGGTCTAAGAGCAGGTCGTAAGTCTTGCGCTCTTTGATGTCACCCAAACTTTGCACCTTGTAACCACTTTGCTGGAGTAAAGCGACCAATTCCCTACATTCCTGGCAGGCACTCGCAGCTGTGGTGTGCCAATGTCAATTTCAGCCGTCCTTGACACGCACGGCATAGGTGGTTTTCTCCAAGCCATGGCGGACAGTGCCAGTGTCCAAGGCAGCAATGCGAAATTCATTGGTATCCATACCAAGCGGAACATAGCTGACCTCACACACGACAGCAAAAACTGACCACACTGCATGTCTGAAGCGGCTGAAGTAGGGGACTCGGCGCTTGTAAAGTCTTAGGTGGTGCAGTGATGCTAGTGATGCAAAAGCGTTCGAGTGGTATTTCAGTGTAGGCCTGTTGTCGTCTGTAAGCTATTATCCTCAAAAGAATACGCAAAGGCTACTACACGGAGGCTACAAGAACTGGTAGTTTGCTCGAAGGTGCCACGCGAGCCTGCGCAGTAAATAGGACTCCTAAATTAAAGCACTTCTGTATAAGTGGCTGTGTATAAGTGCGACTTCTCTGTGCGGATCACTATCAACCCGGCACCTTTGTAAAGAGAACATGTGATGTCCGGCTCTTTTGAAGCCGAATGCTTGTCGTGCATTCGGCATCCTGCTTGGAAGCGCATGACGGAGACATGACCCATTCCTGCGAGACATCGAAGATTGGCCTTTCCTGCGAATAAGAAACTACGCACTTTGGAGGGATGACGCATGTGGAAAGCACCTGGCACACACCTGAAAAAGATGCTACTCTCGCATGTGAGCATGGGCATGTTGACAAACGGTTGCAAGCACCAACTGCGCCGTACACGAGGAAGTGCACGCTGCTGGCTCTGGAGCGTCTATAAACTTAAAAGCTGCTAAATTCGAACACTTGCCATCCATTAGAGGAGAACGCTCGCTTTGAAAAGCTCGGATTTCATCTATATACGTTCCTTTCATCGATTTCGACGGTCCTGAGTCACCTAGTCCAAACCTGAACGGAGAGACCAAAATGCACGGCAACTGCCCTCACCTTGTTGGTCTTGGGATCAAAGCGAGTTCCCATTCCGTGTCTTGCATAGTAGATCATGATTTGATCAAGGTTGCCACAAGGTGTTCCTTATGTGGACAGGGCTCGCAATGGCCATGACACAGGTGGCGACAGTCTTTGCAACAAAGAGGCCAATGCAGTCATTCTCAACCTGTTGCGCCATTTTCACCTCAAGAACAAGCATGACAAGCGGGAAGCAGCGGAAAAGTAAGACACAACACGCTTTTCTGCCGTCGAAAGGCAACCCTGAAATCACCGTCAGGCAAGGTATTTTTGTTGATTTCCAGCATGGTCAGCATCAGGTTCAGGACCAAGGAAGCTGATCGAGACATCCCTCCACCAGGGATGTTGCCAATTAACCTTGCGGATGTACCAAACCCTCAAGGGTTGAAATCAAGTCTGGTTGCCTCGATCTTCTGTTATTCGTTTTTGCCGGGTTTTTCTCCATGTGTTTTGCCAATTTTCCAGCCATGCGTCACAGCATCGAACCCACGCGAGGTGTCAAAGCCACTCTTCCGAAGAACGAAGTCCACGCCGTAGGGAAAGCGTGCCCAGGTCTCAGAGATGGATGAAGACTTTGGAGCTGGCACCTGCCCTGGTTGAAACTCCACAACACCCTCCCCGGGAAAATTCTGGCTGAAGATTCGAATCTTTCCAGAATTGTTCGGCTTGTAGGCCATCCAAATGAAACGGTCCGTGCCAACACCAAAGAGCTCTGTGCCATTGTAGTCACCGTGCTCGACACCCAAGCAAAAGCGTGAAGATGTTCTGCGGATGGTACCACCAGCGATGTCAAGACCATGCTGCTTGGCAGCCAATTTGATGCTGGCAATCGCCTTTATTGGTAGCAGCTTCGAAGCATTGTTTCCGACATCGTCAGCACGTTACAAAAGCATGTAAAACATGGTAAAACCATCCCAAAGCTAAAACTAAGGCGAAGTCCCGAACTTCCTCGAGGTCGTTCAGTTCCATCGCCTTGATTTTCGTCTCCAACATTCTCACACGCTCCTCCAGGTCTTGCCTAGTTTCAAGGCGCAGCTCTCTCGAGAGCTGCAGACCATGTGCCAGGCTCGCGCTGACACACGCTCCAGCCGCCAGTCGCCGGACAGACCCAGCAGCAACTCGACTCCAACGGAATGCCATGGCGCCGTGGGAAGAGATGTTGGAACAAAAGCTGCGGAAAATTCAATTCAATGACACCAAAAATGGCACAGATCCAAACAGCACCAAAAGGTGTCAGTGTTGGCCCCATGAAAGGTTGAGTCCTGACGATACTTTGGCAGCAAGTAATCGTCCAGGAACCTTTGCAATGCCAGTCAGCGAGGTTCTGCAAAATTGTCACAGCGATTTGATTTCTATCGCTACTAGCTTGGAGGCCATCGCTGGATGGAGGCCATCGCTATCTAGAGCTGAGTAGTGTTCGATGTGGCTTCTTGACCTGGTGCTTTGAAAATCCATAGGTCTGCCACTCAACAATCCAATCAGCGTAAGTTGGCACCTCAGGTCGAGGAGTCAAGACGGATGGTCGAGGAGTCGAGACATTCCCTGATTGTCAGGACAATGGATTTGGGTGAGTATGGGTGGGTGAGTTCGCCCGTGTCGTTTGGTGATTTTGACCTTCCCAACAATGCCAGGGAAAAAAGACGCTGCTCTTGACACGTCTTGAAAGGGTGGATGACTGAGGGTCTCGACCATTCTCGTGAAGTAGTCGACTCGAAGTGAAATAATCTCATCCACCACTCCCTTGAGTAGCTCCTGATCAAGTCCACACATGCTGGCTTATAAGAACAGAGTCAGACTCCAAAGCCCAAGCCTTTGAGTATTCCATTGCGGTCATTCCTTGAGCGTCTCCAGAATCTTCCTGGAAAAGAATCGAATGCACCACGTCTTCTATTCACAATGCGAATACTAAGCTAGCAGCGGGATCTTTGATATGGCGACGATGTCCCTGACCGAATCACGTGCTCGGCTGTTGGGTCCGGGCGGATTTTTCAGTCTCGGTCTGTTCCTTCCTGAACTCCATAGAAAAAATGGTTTGATATGGTTTGATACCGGTCTGGCAAAACGACATGCAGACATGCAGCATTCAAAAGAAAGCTGCCACTGATGGCAGCTTGACAGATGAGACACGTGAAGACACCGTAACTATGGCCAACTTGCAAAGCAAGAGTCTCTCTCTCTCTCTCTGGACAAAAGGTGCAGCTACTTGCAATTCAGACGAGGGTAAAAGAAAGAACCAATATATTATATAATCATGTGCACAAGCATTTTCAAGTTCTGTTTCCCTCAAAGCAGCATCAATGCTTTGACTTTCAATGGTCAAGCGGCGCTGCTTCAAGAGCCAAGCTGAAAGCTGCTTACAAACTGTGAGCAAAAAAACAAGTATCAAATGTATCAACCATACTCCAAAAGAAGCAGTGTCTCGCTCAAACAGTCTTTGATTTGAGCCCAACAAATGGTCGACATCAACCATTCACCGTGCCCGCTCGATGTCAGGACATCTGAGCTTGAGCAATGAAGCCTCAGGCAAAGGGTCAACTGGGCTGACATAAACCGCACCCTCTTGGTTGAGCAGTTGCACGCGCACGCCTTTGTCGCCCTCCTGGAGAGGAGCCAAGGCATCAAGGCTTTCCTGTGCTGCGTCCAACACATCCTGAGCCGTTGTTCCCCATTTCTTCAGCTGCGGTGCGCCCGCAAAATAGCTGCTGGGCCACGCTGGACGTAAACGATCCTCCACGGTCAACCACCTGCAGAGAGTCACTGTGGTGCCACCCTCTCGACAAGCCGACAGATTGAAGGGTGACACTAAATGCTCGACGGCTGCCCGAATCTTCGCTGCGCGCTGCAAACGTTTGGTGTCGACAGCTGTAGGGGCAGGAGGGGGAGGTACGGCCTTGATGGAGATCTGGTTTCGAAGGAACACAAGCAACTCAGTAATGATCTCTTCAGATGATCGACGTGCTTCACCCCACTTCATGATCTTCATCTTGGTTCCTTCGAAATTGCCGACAAATGCTTTCTTTACAAAGTCTGGAAGCGCCTTTCCCTTGCACATGTCAGTCTGAATGTCTGACAACTTGCCGGTTAAGCTCTCCTCAAATGATGCCAGGTTCGATTGCAAAAAGGGCATTCTGCAAACAGCATCAACTTCCCCTGGCGCTGATGGTGCTCGGAACATCTGCAAGAAATTGAGGCATACCTGTGCGGGTTTGGACAGGTTGTCAGTCACTGTCAATGTTTCATGGCCAGACCGACCTCCTTCACTTAAGCGTCCATAGCAGCCAGCAAGGCTGGCTAAGAAAATGGCGGCTCTGCGGGCGCTCTGATCACTCGAAATCTCTTCAGGCCAAACCGCTGTGACTCTGTAGCCACTGCGCCGCGCTGAGATTACATATGGAAGTCGATCCCCAACATCCACACCATTACGCAGAACGATGATAGGTGAAGTACCTTGCAAAAGTAGCGATTCGAACTTTGCCAACGTTGAGGTGGCATTTCCTTGGTGTTCATCCTGTGACAGCGCGGCACCGTTCAAAACCTGTGCGCAGCTCCTCCCGATCAAGTCTTTGCCGCAGCCTGGAATTCCACACAAAAGCACCAGAAGTCCACGGGCTGCTTCGTCGTAGCCACCGCTGGCCATGCTTCACAACCGCTTCTACCAACTCTAGTTCTTTGTTCATGTATCTATTGCGAAGCAAACGCATCACTAGGGTAAGATCATTTCTGGGTAAGATCACCACTTTCGACAGGGAAGCTTGCAAGGCAAGTAATGGTCCACGTATTTTGATACTTTGTCATAAAGTGGGAAGTAGCATCAGGAGAACATTGTGTGTGATGACAAAGTGTATATACATATATATATATATATTATGCCTGAGAAGGGAGGGAACGAAAGCCAGCCTCCCTAAAGGGACATTACATTATATAATGCGGTTATGGGGTGAAGTCAACAGGGCACTTCAACTGCTGTCAGGCATGGGGAAATACCAGGCAGAGAGGCGCAAAGTCTTGCATTGAGGGTGGATATGATAGGCTCTATATACACAACATGAAGGCCAGAGCCTATATACATAACGCCTGGGTCAACTCTCCTTCGCCATGAGGTGTGATAGGATAGACTTGGATTTGTACGAAAGGCGGGCTCTCTTGGACATGTATGTATAGCTAAGAGGGGTATCTGGGTAACCGGCTCTTTCACTACAAAACAAGGGCACCTCCAGCAACTTAAAGGTTCCGGACTCCATTCTATGTCTTCTCAGGTTGAGCCCACAAATATTCTCCTGAGTTGTCTGAACGCTTTCTCTAGGAGAAGTAGGTTCTAGCCAGCACGGAGTCTCGCCGCTTCTGGCGGCAACTTGATGGGCCCAATATACAAAGCCCAACTCCTTGGACATCTATAGCTCTGAGGAGTGCCCTTCTTGCATTCTATTCCCTCTCCTGTTCTCTACGGGTGCGTTCCGCGTTCCCTTCCACTCTTTTAGCCACAGGAAATCAGAGGGGTAAGAGACGCACATCTCACTTTCCTGGTGCACTCCCGACCTCTTTTCCTGTCACGTTGTGCCCCTTCGACATGAACTCCCACCCCTTGTCGAAAGACTCTCCAAATAGCCTCCTGATCTCCTCATGATATGAATGATGCACTATTCGGCATCAATTACATAACTCGCATCACAACAGCCCAAAAACCATACATGCAGACTGGGCCGCCTCCTTCTTTCGCTCTCCACCAGGCTCTGGGTTCGCCCTACCCTGCCGGACCGGCTACGTCACCACCCCCGACACACACCCTGTACTCACTTCGTTCACCCATCAACAACTCCAGCCTAGCCTATCGGCTGGCTTTCGTGATAATATACTGATACTACTGCTGTTGTCTTCGCTCAATCTTTGGTACTGCACAGGACAAGTATGAGTCTAAAGCTGCCTATGCTTGGTACAAACCGTACAGCTTTTGTCTTGACTCTGGATCCGAATGAATAGCAGTTGCCCACAGCAGCACATGTCCACAACAATCAAGTTCTTGTGGCTCGAGCAATCTATAATATTACATACTACGATCTTCCACTGCTAGACTGCTGGGCTTTGCAATACAAAGAGTATGTGCATGCAATGTTTGCAGCCTGTCGGTCGATGCGCAGAAAGTTCGCCGCCATATCAGACATACCCACGACCAAGGAAAGTTGCCTTCACAAACATGTCGATAGCAAATAGCAAGATAGATAGATAGATAGATAGATAGATGTAGATCCATAGATTGATAGATCGATCGATCGATAGATAGACTAATCACATCCTCTTTGTATGTCTATGTCACTCGCAAGTCCCACGCCTTGGAATCACATCCACCTCCTGGATGTCAACCTACAAACAACATCCGAGCTCAACTACCTACAGTACCTCGTTCGCCGTCCAACCGCACGCTGTTCTGGCCTTGTCGCACCAGAGATGCGTGAGACTCTGACAGCGAAGGGAAAAGATCAGCTCGGGCGTCTGCACATTCACCCAGCTGGTTTTGGTCACTGTGCGCAGAGCTTGTGCATAGTGTCCTGACAAAACTTCAGGGCAAAGAACCAAAAACCACCAACCGCCGGAACCACGGATCCCAAAATGAGCTTTGTTCAAAACCTATCGATCGAAAATGTTCTAATGGGCTCTGCTTTCGCAAGTTCCCTTCGCAACACTTTCGCGGCTTGCATTTTGGCTTCCGTGCACTGCATCACAACTGATTTCGAAAGTGTTTGCAAGCTTTCCACGCGCTTTCGGAAGCTTTCGCGCGCGAAAAGTTTGCGAAGTCTTTCGTGAATCGACTGCGCGACTGCGTGGTTGCCTTTTGCGAAGTCACACCGCTGGGATCGGTCCCGACATCCCCACATCCACGGGAACGCGCTCGGTCCGGATTGCAAGTGCACGGCAAAGGCGACGGCATCACCGCCCGGCAGCAGCTCCGCCATTTGCCACAAGCCGCTGTCGGGGTTTCCGGAGCCCAAGGCGCTCCAGCTTTCATAGAGGTTCAAGGCCCGCTCAAAGCGTTCCTGATACAGAGAAGAGAAGAGACGTGTTTAAAAAGATGGAAAGGAGTGTCCTGACTACAAGTCATTTCTCCAAAACTACTAGGTTGGAGGCCATTACTACTAGTAGCAAGAAGCTAGTAGTTTCTTGTTACTAGTACCAATGCACTTGTTAATCGCTCAAACCGTTCAAATCGGTTCCAAGGCTCGGAGTCGCCGTTCATCCGGTGAAACCAGGCCGCAAACAGGTTGGAGCCTGGCACCAGCTCGGCGACGCGCGTAATGGCACCATCTCGGCTGAAAAGCCTTTCCACGGAATAGCCTCTGGCACGTTCAGCGGCCACATCGTCACCCTGGTACCGATGATAAGCGACCATGCCATCACTGACCAAGGGGATATGTTCCAAGGCTTTGGTCAAGTAGCCTTGGCTTCCAATGGGATTCCGGAGTTGCGCTCGCTCCAAGGCTTCTTTGTCATCTCTTTCTTTGTGCACCGCCTGCAACACCGAGTTCACCAAGGGTATATGCTCTGCTGCATGCGTCAACACCCCATTGGAGCCCAAGGGGTCTGCTCGTCTGGCGCGCTCGAGGGCCTCCTCGTTTCCGGACAACTCATGGAGCAGCTGAAAGACCCCAGAGAGCACAGGGATCCGTTCGCCCACCCGTGCGACAACTCCCAGGGTGTCCGGATCCGTGTGTACGGGCTCGAAATGGTCGTACAAGTCCGGCTCGAAATGGTCAAAGGAGACGGAGTGCGGGAATAAGGAATTCAGAGCCAGGTTATGTGCCATGAGCTCCAACCAAAGCCATGTTAAGCTACATGATCTTTGGAACAGGAGCCATTCGCGGCTCAACTTCAACAAACAGCAATAAAACTTAGCTTGAGGATCAAATGGTGGTGCATAAACAAATGACATAAACAGTTTATGTCTTTGTCTAGCTAGGCCAAGCTAAGAGCCAAACAAATGCAAAAAGAGGTTGTTGTTGCAGTCGGACTCAAAGACCGAAAAAAAGAAATCAGGGATGGTCATGGACTGTCAACATGTCAAGGACATCAATTCGTTGGCTGGCCAATGGGCCATCTGTGTCTGCTCCCCTGTAGACCTGGCAAAAAGAGATAGGGAACATGGGCCTCGACAGTGCCAAGGGAATGACTTCATCTGCCTCTTGAGCCTCGACAGTCTCATCCTCCTCGAAGAGCCAAGCGTCGAAAAAAGCGGAAGCACCTCGTTGTATGTGTCCGAGCCTCGTCCGCTGCGAGGTAGCACTCAAAGCCACCCACCTTCATGTGACAGAATCTCACGTTTACAAAGAAAGCCAAAAACACGAGCTTCAAGGCAGGCGGCACTGCCAATCACACGTGAAAAACCTGTTACGACTTCGTTCATCAAGCTGTCAGGGTTCGTTGCCCTCGATATGACGTGCTTTCTCTTGCTGTTCCCTCTCCATGCCTCCTCGCTTGCCCACTGCTCTGAGGCAGCAGTTTGCAGCTCATCCTCAACCACAGAACTCTTAAGTGAAAAGGAACTATTGTCTGAGAATTCCATGAACACTTACTTGGCCTTGCTGCCGCCCAATGCGAAGCAAAGGATTGCATCCAAGTCTGCCTGAATCATTGCTCTGCGTCTTTGCAAGCGTCAAACATCAGAATATGGCTGTCTAGCGTCACCAGGACGAACACTTCACCCAGCCTCATCCGAGTCTTGTGCGCCTCGAGCTGCCACCTCAGGGGTGGAGATAGCTCATTCCCCGACCAAAAAGCCAAAAGAACGGCCTTCAAATACAATAGACGTCCAAACGTCAAAGCGAAACGTCCAACCAAAAATGGTACAAACTCCAAGCAGAATGGCTGTGTAGTCCAAGCCAGGTCGAAATCGTCTCACCTCTCAATGGTTTGAAATGTCCAGAGCGATTGAGGGCAGGTGTGCAGGTGTGTTCTGCCTGCGGCCGACCATCGTTCTTAGTGTCCAAGCCGGTGCAAGCCTTGTCAACATGAAATTGCGAAAAATGCTATACGTCTGCAAGAGAGTGCCACAAAGATCACAAAGAACATGGCGAAACTGACTCAGATTTGGGCTTTAAGCCACCTTCGAAAGCTGTCACCTTGAGTTTCTTCGTCTTTGTTGCCTTTACACACACGCCAGCTGAGTCCAAGGCTAGCAAACACCTCCCGAGCGAGGCGCAGCAAGCTGCATCCCAGCCTCGCAGCACATCCAAGGAGCAACTTGCGACTCTGAGCATTTTACTGCAAGGTGATTCTCGGTGATTCGTTTCGACGTCTCTCCTGCCATGAGGTGATTCCGCGCCCGGAAGAGCCGCCTCGACATGAAGCTTGGCCGCGTCTTTGCCGACCCCGTCCGACTCCGATTCTCCGTCCATCGTCCCGCGGTGTCTTGCCTCGCCTGGGCCAAGCGCCTGGCACGCGGCTTGGCTCGGTGGCGCACGTGGCGACCGAGGTAGCCAAATGGTCTGGGCTTTGGACAAGAAGCGCCGAAGGTGAGGAGGGCCTAGCAACTCCTCGGACAAAGGGAGTGGGGACAGGAAGCCCAAAGACTTTTAGACTCGTTTTAGACCATGGGCGTTGTAGGGATTTGGATATTGAACCGGTGATGCGATCCCTGTTGAATCTGGGCAGCACAGAGTCTTATGACTCAAACGGTCTGTTGGGAGCCGCAGCACGTGGTTTGACGGACAGCAGAGCCTTCTGCTTGAAACCGGAGGAACGAGCTTAGGTCACCAAACGATCCACTATTGTCCCCCCCAACAACATGTGTCCGCTCTACTTTCCGCTGGGAGTCGCCCCAGTTTGGTCAAGTGGGCCGAAGTTCCGCTGGGGTGTAAACATTTGGCTGAGGAACGTGCCCATCCATCGACCACACCGCTGGTATAGCAGGGCACTGGAAGCTCCTCTGCGCGGATGTTCAGAGGAAATGTCCATGTTTGCGCCTGGAAATTGATCGCTGCCACTAATATGTACAGGGATTTGTCTGTATGGTCCCAAACCCTACGTGAACCAACAACCTTTTTGGGGACCAGGACCAGGACCTCTATGAATACGGTTCTTTCGCATTTGTTGTTTCTCTCCCTCGATGTGTTCTTCCTTGGGCGAAATGGGACCAAGACCGGTATGAGAACGCACAAACCCAAATGAGGCTCAGGGGTCTTCCGAGTCACTGGGCTTGAAAACATGAATCTTCGTTCGATGGTGACATGGCGAAAAAGGTGAGCTGATCAGGGAGGCTCTTAACACGTACATGTACAATCATGGTACATGCATTTAACATATGCACACTTGCGCGGTGAAGGGTGAAGGGTAGTCTCCTCTGCATTCGGCTCAAATCCTTGGTTGTTGAGATGTTGTGAAGTGACTGCAAGGTTCCTTTTGGGCCATTGGATGGAGGTTTCGGAATGAGCGGAATGAGCACCTTAGTTTCGGACCATCTGCTTTGTCCACCGCTTCCAGCTCACCAGCTATTCTTTCAGCAAGGTCCGCACGAAGAAACTGCGGTGCTGCAGGAACTCGGGTTGCCAGGTGTCCAAGAAAACGGCAAGACCCCGTCGACCAAACTCGCAACTTAGTGAAGATCCAGAATCAAACTCCCAACCTCTGTGAGTACCGCATAGGAGCTTTCCTCGAATTGCTTTTGGATTGCCTCTCCGAATGATCCAGGTCTTGTCATGTGTTGTTTCATCTCAACATTTGCACATCCTGAGACGATGCATTTTCCAGCAGGATGAGTTGATTCCTCCCTTGCTTGGAGGTGTGAAACGCCATGCTGGCTGCGTCACTCGCACAAACTTAGACTGGGCCTGCTTTGCAGGCGGCTGAGCTTGAATCTGGCACCGGTGACTTTTGCGACGTTCGCTTCCAAGCTTGTTAACATTGCGCTGCTTGCGCTTGTTTGTTGAACAAAATAGTGTTCATACCCAAACGGTGCAAGACAAGAAGCCAAGCACCTTAAGAGTGCCAGACTGCTAGACACAAAGTCCACAACACGCTTGTTGTGGCATTCAGCCCAGCAAGCGTTCTATCCAGTCCTGGAAGAGAGTGCAGCAAGCCGACACATTTGCTTTTTGCTTTGCACAGCTGACTGTCCTTGTTTGCTACGTTGCACATGCGTTGGGCTTTCACACCCGTGATGACGTTGAGGCCGTCATTTCTTGGTGAGCAAACGAATTGATCTTGATTTGGCTGCACATATGTTCGCACCCAGGTGAAAATCATTGAGCATCTCCCTGCATGTCCCTGCATATAATCTCTTTTCGGTATTTAGATGTTGACCCAGAAGCCTTCGGAGTTGGGACATCACAGCTAAGGCAAGCAACTTGTAGAAGCCAGGCTCCCCCGGAAGACGACAAGCTGAATGCCCTCTCTGCCCGTAGAGCCTCGGTCCAACGACTCAACGACCAAGGCTCTTCTGCAGCGTTCCGTCAACAAGGAAAGACCCAGAGCACTCGAGGCTCAGACCTTGAGAAGGATGTGTCTGACACCGGCAACCTCAGAATCAGCCCAGAATCTCAGGAAATTCTCTGCCTTCGCCGCCTCCACGCCTCCGCACCACCTCATCCCTCCGCCCTTCCCGGACCAAGATGCGGAAATCTCGTGGCAATCTTGAACTCGCCTGCCTCGCATCGAACATCAAAACCGAACCATCCGGAGAACTCGCATCCACTCGGCCGACGGAGCCGAGTTGAGAGAAGGCGTCGGCGTCCGTCCAGAGAAGGGACGCTCCTTGCGCGGGTCGCCGTAGAACTTCCCATACTCCCTGAGCGACGAATCACATTGGGTGAAAAAGGTTGGGAGACGGAATCGCTGAGCTCAGAACGAGTTGGGCTTTTTGTATATGCCTTGAGAGCAGAGGAAAGTAGCGGAAGAAATACACTGGCAGTGGCAGTCGGACAATCTTTTTCTGGAATTTGGCTTCAGTGTCCAAAATTCAACTGAGAAGCATTTCGCCCCAGCTGACTGAAGCGCATGGCCTAGGTCACAGGATCACAGGCACATGCCAATACATCTGAATGAGAAGAGTTATATAAAGCCCTGGTCCCCAAAGATGATATGTTACATTGCCATCATGTGCCGTAATTTCTTCCAAATATGTACATGACACATGACTCATTGCTTGGTTGTGTCAAGGCGAAGGTTCGCCACTCCGCTGGGAGAAAGGCATCCTGGCTCTGCACAACTTGCCCCAAGCTTTTCCTGAATGACAGGCACCGTAATTCCACAGGCACGCAATGAGTTCATGTCTGCGCTTCTTGTTACTAGTAGTACGGCCAGGAGCCCCGTTCGTAGCGTCCGATCGCTCTTAGTAGCGATGCCAGGAGCCCCGTTCATAGCGTTCTTGTTCCTACATGTGTATGAGTTCATGTCTGCGCATCTTCACTCAATGCGTGCTGCCCAGAAGCCCAATTCAGTTTACGCGTAGCATCTGAGCTGAGATTGGGCAGCGAGGCACTGCGAGAGGATGCAAAGCCTGCGACATGCGGCGGCACAACATGAAACAAACCGTCCCAGCTGCTTTGTGGCTCTCATGCATATCAAGCCAAGGTGAACACAATGATGAAAAAGCCTAGGCCTTGTCCGGACATCGCCTGCCTGATCAAGTGAGCTCACTGAAAGAAAAAAAAAGAATAAAAACTTTGATGGCTTCACAATGTGGCAAGTCGGAGTGTTCCAACCGCAAGCCTGCTGCTTGCCAGCTCACAGGCAAGATGAGCTACCGTTCGAGCCAAGTAGCAAAGCGCCATGCAATGCTAAAGGTCTTGGAACCCACTCATGCAATTTCAAGGTCAAGTCATGCAAAAATGGAAAGCTGAAGGAAAGTCCAAGAACTCCCAACACAAGAGCAGAAACCAACTCCCATCCTCGAGCTGCTTGGCATCCAAATAGGTGGGTGCCAACCAATCTGAGAGCACCTGAAGTCCATAAACGAATCTTGCACTCCTTGTTTTGCAAAAGTAAAAATGTTAACCTGAATATGAACTGAAGGATGCGAGGATGCAACCCTAAACCATCCTAAACCCATGCTTCTGGTGGACCTCGCGTCCAATCCGAGCTTCGGAGCTTCGGAACTCGGTCCCACCTTGAGGTCCTCCTTCGAAAGCTCGCCGACTTCACCCTGACAGCCGAGGCCGAGTCCGACGAATCGGGAGCTGCTTGGCCGACGCCGAGTCCCGGCCTCCTCTTCGCCGCCTGGAAGAGGCGTTTGAGGCGCTTTTGGTATGTTTTAAGGCGCTTTTGTGTCGATCTTGGCCTCTGAATACAACATCAGAAATCTCAAGATCGAGGAGTCTTTGAAGAAACCAATGGCATCTGCATCAACAGATGGGTGCTTGTCTGGTCGAAAAAAGGTGGCCTTCAACAGCTCGTGTCTCGAGGATTTGCTGCAGCGTGGCCAACCTCAGGGGCGCGGCGCCTCTGCTCAATGGAACGGTTTTTCGGCGGTTTTGCGGCCTGGCCGGGTCCGAAAAACGGCAGGCAGTGGAAGGGTGTGATGGAAGATCCGACTTGTTTTCGTTACAAGTCTAACTTGTGGACCTCTCATTCTGCTGGTGTTTCGGAGTGACAAGTATGTTATTGGCAAACAATTGAAGAATCTATCACTAAACATGCAACTGATGCGACTTTGCCAAATGGAACTATTTACATGAGAGTTTCTATGAAGAGTTGCGCGTGTTCATTGTTGTGGTGCTTGATGATTGGCTTGGGATGCTGGTGATTGAGATTCTGAGGCCTTGCATGCAACGCTTGGTCTTTCTATTCATGTTCTGCACGATATACCGAAACCCTAACTTAGTCCCGGCCTGGTTTGACCAACTCTAAGGTCAGTCAAAACCGGCGCTGGATTTCGTGCCCTTTTGATCATGTCAATGTGAGATTTCGTTGATTTCTCTTCCTTTGAAATGAAAGGTTCGCTTCCTTTTTGGAACACATGTCCTTTCTTGATGCATCATGTCAAATGGTTGCATCTTCCGTCTTGCTCAGCGTCATGCCCCCGGTGCTCAAAGTTCAGCGTGGTCTCGAGGCCTTTGAGAGAAAGTGGTCTGTCGTCTTTTTTTCTTAGCTGAGTATTTACGGAAAAGCCATCCAATACATATGTAGGTGATGTTCTTTTCTATCCGTTGTTATCCGTTTTGGGTTCGTGATATTGCATTGCTTCCATGCTGGAAATCCTTGGGGCGTACTCGGCGCATGAAGCCACCCCTGCAGGGAGATCCGTGCTCGACCGCCTCGAACCTGCAGTTGAGGAACTCACGAGCTTGCATTGCTGAATAGCAGTTTGGTGTTTAAATCAGATCGATAGTCTCGAGACAACCCCCAGCCTCAAGTATCGTTGATGCAAACAGCTTACTACCGCTTACTTGTCACTATAACATATACATATTACATATAATCATATACATATACAATCTGCAATCATATAGATATACCGTCCTGTCTGACCAAATTGATTTGATCGCCTCCCGGACAGCATGGTAGGAAACGCCCGGCCTAGAGAGTGCTTTCTTGGAGCAGCCGGGACTTGAGAAAATTACAGAAAACAATCAAAAAAGTGTTTTGTTTAAAGAAAGAATGTAGTTTCTTTTCCAAATCTGCTTCTTCTTGATTGGGTTCTTGCCATTGGTGTCTAAGGTCTGGACTCCACCAGAAAAACAGCTAAGGAATCCGCCAAAGGAAGCAACTCCCTGCCGAAAAATAACAATGCTTCGAAGAGCTCAGACACCGGAACGTTCAAATCATCCGACCCAAGGCTTTCGCGTGGTTGGAACACTTGCAGGTCGACCTCCAGGGCAAGGTGCTTGGCCACTCAGGACTCATGTCAAACACCCTCTGAACTTGTACAAACACATGCCTGTGCTACACCACTTCGCATGAATTTCTGACACACTCGCCATCTGAAAGGCCCGTGTTGGGCTGGTTCCTGGTCCAAAAGGCACAGTCTGGCACATCTTCTTCTCCAGGCTCCATCAAGACTTCCAAGAGCTTTGACAGCTGAGGACCCTCTTGGTCTGACAAAGCACCAAACACGGGCTGTTGCACCACATGGTCAGCTGCTTCATCAGCACATGGTTCCAGGTTGAAGCTGTTGGAGTCATGATCATCATCTTGCATTACATCAAGTTGCTCACTTGTAGGCTCCGGAGCCGGTTCCGCACAGGATGTGGATGGTATTACGTCCTTGCACGTGACCTGCGCTGAGGTGCGACATGCAAAGTCACTGTTTTGGGCAGCTGCCTCTGCATGAACTTCACTCTGACTTGGTGGCCCTTTGGAAGCATCAGGATATCTGTCAGCATCTGCAAACCCGGTGGACGAGGTGGCGCTCAAACTGACCACTGTCTCATCGGATGTCGGACACCTGCATGTCACAAATCAAGAAATCAAGACTGTGACAGAGCTGTGGAAGACATTTCAATATCACCGTTGATGTCTGGGAAGCGGACCTCTCATTCTGGAGCGGAACGCTCCGAGGAAACTCTGCTAGAGCACCAGAAGTGTCCTCATGGTCAAGGTCTACCACTTGCCAAGTTTGCATGCCACTCATTCACTCATTAGCCGTGTCTGGAACACAAGAATTAAGCACCTCGTGAACACTTTTGGAGCACTGGCCTGCTTTGTCTTGCAATCTCGCTGGCAGAAGAATTTTCGCAGGGGCTTGGTTTCCGGCATGGCTATGCTAGCATGTGGTAGTTATAAAGTAATAACAGCTAGCGTGTAGCTAGAGCAAGGAGCCAAATGCCACCGAGCAAGCTTGTCTTTCACTGCATGTGCTTGTCTTTCATGGGCTGCCGGTCCACATTCTCAAAGTAAAATTCAGGCCTGTGGCGGGTTCTGACCTGAATCTGTCACACAAGTCACTGTCGGCCCCATGGGCCGTGCTTGCACGGCTCTCGGCTGGTCTTCGAGCTTGCGGGGTGCCGGGCGAATAGAGCTCTAAAGCTCCCCCTTCTGCCGCAGACCACTCCTGAAGCGCATTCGGTTGAAGCAAAAGCAGAAGCAGTGGCGTGTTGGCGGACGCACCTAAAAAGGATTTAACCATAATGTGGCTGCCTTGAAAAATAGTGGTATTCGGTACGGTATCCTCGTATTGATTTCATACCTGACTCTCAAATGAGATGAAACTTCAGCACCTGCTCTTTCCTTACATACCCAAAATGGTGTTTCTGGCTAACTATATAACTATATAAGTCAACTTTGAAGTCGCTCAGTTCGTTCCTTCTATGCAAGTCGATGCCCAAGTCCTTCCCTTGCTTTTTGTCGAAAAATCATCGGCGCTGTGCCAGAGAGGAAAGAACTAGCCGGCGAAGCTCAGCATCCCGAGCACTTTGGCTCACATGGGAAGTGGTGCTTTCCATTGAAAGTCGAGGAGTCTGCAAAGCCTGGCACTGAGACCACCGGAGCATGGCTTACAAAGTTGATTCGACCGGCTGAGACCACCCGATTCTCGTTTCACCTTCCAATCGATCGACCGAAAGCGATCGAAACAACTTCCAATCGACCGATTCTCTGATGAATCTCTCTCTCTCTCTCTTTCTTCTTGACGTATGGAGAGGGACCTACGAGTTCGAAGGTCTCTCTTCACTCTCTCTCTTCGTCTCGTGCTCCACCTGTGAACCTGCTGAACGTAGTGCTCCAGCACCCCTTTCAGGCGGTGCACCCCTCAGGATCGGAAAAAGACACGCTCATTCAGAGTGGTGCGATCCCCCCTGTTTGATGATTCCTCTGCGCTCAAACTGATTCCCAAGCTCCAGGCGTCAAGCGTGGCACCTCCGACGTGTCCGTGACGGTCGCGCAGCTTCTGCCCGAGAGCATGCTGGGTGTCGCCTACGCCAATCTTCTCTTAGGAACACTGAACAGAATGCACACCAGGCATGTTTGAACCGATCGCTTCCATTGGAGATCAGCTTTTGAACCGCTTTGAAACTTAAAAGCGCGATCGCCTCTCTTTTGGAGCTTTGCCAGTCAAAGAGAGTGAACTTGGGCTGGAACTGGCGGAGCACGTGGAGCCCGGCAGCCAGTCTTCACTCAATCGATGAGCCCACACGTCCATTTGCTGTGATGGGAAACACAATTGTAGCATATGTATTTATATGTGTCCACAGGCTGTAAATATGTCCATCTGTGTAGATGATGAAGTGTTTCATCTGTATGCAAAGACTTCATAGTCATGGATGACTGAAAAGCACGGCCTTGGATTGGAGAGCAGCACATCCAGAGTAGCAACCAGCCGGAGCCAAATCATTGATTGGCCGATAGACGTAACTCAGTCGAAATGGAACATTGACTCACGCCAAGAATTCATGTGAATTCTCAAGGAATAATCCAAGCTGCTCCTCTCTCTGCAAAGTAGTTCCTGCTCCGAAAGCAAAGCGCACAGGACTCGGGAGTGGACTTGTCAGATCCATAGAACCGAGGTGTGCGACGTAGGCGAGATTTGATCCCGGCCCCCTCACCTCCAGTGCTGATAATCTAGATTGACACCCTGACTGACAGGGATAAGATGCAACTGCAAGTGAAGGCGGTGTCCTGTAGGATAGGACCCATCAGGGCAAGGCTCCTGAATGTCCAAGCACCCTTGAGGCAAGCCACCCCTGCCAGCAAATTTAATTACAGAGACAGAAAAAGCATTGCAGTATAGTACTATGCAGGCTGTTGGAATACCGTTGAAAATGCGCTGAATGGGCACATCGGCATGCACAAAGAATTTGCTCATCGCTAGCACTGTCTAAACATGTACAGTGACTCCCCTTTGGCTCAATTGAAAGAACATCTTGAACCAAAACCCTTTCCAATCTCCCTACCCGGTGCCTGCTGACTTCCTTGACATGCCCACGGCGCTTGCCCATGGCACCCTTTCAGATTTTGGGGAAATGGCTTTGGCTTGGCAGAGATTGGGAGATCTTTTTTACTGAACTTTAATGACCCAAAAATCCTTTAAGCCAACACCATGCAGCTGTTGAGCCACTCGTGCGAGTCCAAAATCAAAGCCTCAAGTCTTCTGCACTGCAGTAGTTGTTCGCGACCCAACTTTCACATCTTGTTTCTCCTCTTCAGGATCTGTGATGTAGTAGATGAAGGAAACCTCCAAGGCCAAGCTAGAACGAATTGCATTGACTCACTGTGCCGCGACAGGTTCGGTTCCAGTGTGGTTTTCCCATCAAAATGCTCTCTTGGCACAACAAATGCGGTCAATCTTATTTTGCACCAAGCAGTACAGGTCTGACACGCTGGTGTTGCACCGGCATGCCCCACCCACTTCTTGCAAGAATACATCATCACTTCTTGGTGTTTTCACTAGGCAGTCCGGGCATGCGGCACTTGATAAAAGATTGGAGCGTCTTCCAGGAGCTCCTCTTGTGGAAGCAACGCGCTTCTAAAAAATGACCAAAGCAAGTCCACATGATACTTGAGAGATATCCTTATAGTCTATGCTTTGCATGAGTTCATTCCTATGCTCCTTCTCAGTTGGCTGTTAAAAAGGGGGACTTCATTGACGCTCTTTGCGGACTGAACGCACAGGGCCCTTCTTGCACCTTGATCAGCTGAGAGCTAACTCAAGAATAGCAAAAACAAACGCACTTGCATGCTTCTGAGACAATGTGCTTTCTTCGTGCAGTCAATTGAGCACCGTACAAACATGCAGTCAGATGGGACCCACTGATCCATTCAGGCCTAAAAAGCAAGTAGCCACGTAAATCCACTTCAAAAATAAGAATCTTGCAGCCAAAGACACCTCCACTGTCTTTCCCTGATCGCGTCGATAGGCTTGGTACTTACATGAGTCTTCGACTACTCCACATGTGATCGATTGACTAAAAGAATGGCCCCAATAAAGACACTGCTTTGGGTGCGATTGAGAGGTACAGGATGGAATTCACAAACTTGTTCACTGTCACCACGCATGTGCACAAAATCCCCGGTGTCAGGAAAGGCTCCCCGGACGGTGCGTCGCTACTAAGAACAAGGACGCTACTAGGGGCTCCTGGCCTTACTACTAGTAACAAGAAGCCACGAACGGGGCTCAAGACTGTTACCAGTCTGACCCTGGAGTGAAGTGCTTCCTCCATGGGTGGACCCTTCGCTGAAGAGCGCCCTGCTATTGGGCGGAGGCCATCGCAAGGCCATCGCTACGAACGTAACAAGAAGCTACTATGTCACCGAAAATGCGAAACCAAAAACCATTCCGTTCGCCGGTGACGTTGACCGTCCCCTCCGTGTTTCTTTCGCCTTGCCTTGAGCTTTTGCATCTCTGCCTTGGTCTCCTTCAGCTCGGCGCGCAGAGCTTCCACTTCGGCTTTCAGGGACTTGGCCTCAAAAAGATGCTTTTTGGACCACGACACATGGGAACCGCATGAAAGAAAGATCATGAGGTTGATTATCACATGAGGGATGGTTCAAAAGGAACTGGTCTTTTCCAGGACATGGGACTTTTCAGGATGAGAAGTGTCCATCCCAACCACCGGCAAGAGTCCAAGTCCGTCATGAGCCGAGCAAAGCGAGCAAAGCGAGGCACCGAGCGATGAAGGTGGCAGACGACATCGGAAGAATGGGAAAAACACATCACCCCACTGTCACCCACTGTCCATTTCATCAAAGATATCCTCACATGGTCACACCAAAGCCAAACAAAAACCGTTTGACGTGACCACAGCGGCACCTCGACCTGGTGGATTTGGGTCCGGTAGCATCCTGGCCTTGCTGTCGGCTTCAATCTGTGCAGCCTCAGCTTGCTCCTTCACGTTGGTCAGCTCAAGAATGGCCTACCACCGGAGCTGCGAAAAACACGAACAGGACCTAAGGAGATGCGTGTTTCACATGTTTGAATCTCGCACAGTTCCTTTTCGCAGCAGCGAATCAGCTCAAGGGCCCTGTTCAGCCGAAACAGCAGCGACGGTGCATCAACTGTACGCAATACACCCTGGCTACAACCGCTGAAATTCACACCCGTCTTATCTACAGGTGTGTTGCGGGCTTTACAGTTCAAATTTGTACAAAGGCAGCCAAGCAACTCTATTCCCCGTGGGGCCGTAAACCATGCCATTCCATGTCGAATTCTCAAAACAAGTCAGGTGAGACTTCTTCATCTTTCTTCTTGGCTCCCTTCTCGCATGCGCCACTGTTCTCGACATTTACAAGGCCACTTTCCAGTGTCTTGAGGAGGTAGTCCGGCTTCATGCTCTTGGTTAGCGGGTCTGCCAATTGCTTCGATGTCTCAATCCACCTCAGGTGGTCGCCGTAGGGACTGTAGATCTCCGATGTTTTCTCGCCACTCACAGTCCACACTCCTTGCCTCAATGCAGCAAGTTCTATGCCAAGCCTTTTGTCTTGTACTTTTCTTGGAACTTCTGCCAGTAAATGGTCCGATAAGCTCCTGCAATCCGTGTAGTACACGTGTGCCATTCGTCTCTGAGTTTCTTCATGCCAGTTCTTGAAGTCATCGAGTCGTCCGGTCAACTCACAAATCAGGCATCGTAGACGATCTCCATGTTCGACTGCAGTTTGCAGAGCATATGCTTCTGCTTGCAATGTAGCACGACACACCCTTTTGAGGGTGGTTGAACCAAAGCTGATAAGATGCATTCTGCGACTGCCTTCCTTGAGGCTGCTCGCATTCGTTATGTAGTGAATGCGGCCTTGTTGACTCTTAAAGCCTTCTTCATTTGCGAAACTTGCGTCGCTAAATGTCACAACTGCCAAATCGCTCCAGTCAATCCAATCACTCTTGAAGGTGATCTGCAAGTCACTTCCTTGAAGTGCCAATTCAACAACCTTGTTGGCATTCTTCAAGTCTTGCACTGTTGCCTTTGCGCTACAGGCACGTTGCATCTCGTTCACACGGTAACAAAGATCTGGTCTTCCATATCGTGCAACCCAAGCCAAGCTACCAACAACGCTCCTGAGGCTTGTCAACTCTTTCTCTGTTACCTTTTCCGACAGCTTCCGACGCTTGTCGATTTCGATCGGCTTCACTGTTCTGCAGTTTTCACTTGTAGAAATGCTCACGGAGTAGTCCTCATGCTGCACGAACTGACGACCGCAGTATCGGAACTTTCCCGATTCGGTTTTGCCAATCGTGAACCTTTTGAGGATACCTTCAATTGTCTTCTTGCCTTCATCAAGGTAGCAATACAACAAGTCGTCGACATGTGTCGCGACCATGCCTATCAACTTTCCCTTGGAATTGTGCAAATAGTACAACGCAGGTGTGATGCGACTGCACTTCAACCCGGCACTGGTGATCTCACCATTCATCCTCAAGTAAAAACCTCTGCCTGCGTCGATCGTGCCATAGATCGGAAGGCGTGCAACCAACATTGCATCCGGTGGAACATCCGGACTTGGTATTCCACCACGTGGCTGTCTGAGCAACAGCAACCTCGTCATTGGCTGACTTTGAAAATACGCTGAGGAAACATCTGCCGCATACAGGGTCACACGATGGCTTGACGCAAAGCTTGCAATCAACATGTGTCCTTCAGTCTCAGCAGTGGGGCTGTCGCAGCGAATGCCTTGTGAATCACGGCTCACTTGTTCGTGATTTCCACAGGCTACTAGCCGAGATCTGTTTTCTGGCCGATGCTCAGGCGTACCTGTCAGATGAGCTTGCTTATCCACATCTACCCATTGCATAGGAATAGGAACATGCCCTTCTTGAAGTAACTCTTCCAATTCCCTGCCTCGAATAGGCATTGCAGCATTGAAGCTCCTATATTTGCTCCACTCTGCACGACGTGCATCCAAGATGCGAGCTTGCATCTCGGGAGTGCATCGGTCGTATTGTAGCGTCTTTGCCACCTTGCCAACCTGCGTCTCACTGTTTTCTCCAAAGCGTTGGGCTACGAAGGCTGGAAACTCTGCAGCATCGAGTTCAGTGTCGTCAGCGGCGGCCATGGCGATCAACGGGTGTTTTACCCGTGTAAAGATTGTGAAACCTGTCCATGCGCGAGAATCAACATCATCCATGCCCGGCATGGACTCGCTGGTCATTCGACTTCCGTCTTCATAGACTTTTCTGGTTACGCGTCTTCCTCCGAATCCTTCCGGAACATCTCCGTCATACAGCGGATGGAAGTCATGGAATCTCCTTTTATTGTGAACACGAATTGCATGATTCTCATCATTGTCAAGCAATGCAAGCATGACCTCATCATCACCAACAATGCCTCCGGGGGTCATCGGAACTGCGACTGCGCTTCCACTCGCGCTTGCAGATGATCGGGCAGCCTTGCCCGTCTTATCTTCTGCTTGTGCTTCTCTCCTTTGTCCCTTCTTAGGGCTTGCCTCTTCGTCCATCATTCGGATGTACTTCTGCTGTCCCAATGTTACTGCCTCCGGGAATACCGGGATGTTGTTCAAAATGGAGTAGGCCAAAGATTCACTCTCATTGGCTGATCTGAGTTTTCCAGCAGCACACAAAATGGGAATACCTTCATGTAGCAACCAGATGCCGTTATGTGGGTCGATGCCAATCACACGCGAAGCAGTGGACCACACGGTTCCACCTTGCTGGGTGTCTCGACGGTAGACCACAAGGTCTCCAACCACAAATGACTTCTTGTTCTGGACTGCAGCATTCCTGGTCAATGCTCTTGCAACACGGGAGCTTGTATCCATATGAATAAATGCCTTTTGTGCAGCCATACGGGATGCATGACACAAATGATAGCTTGCTGCAGGGTCAAGCTTGTTCTCCAAGATGCCTAAGTTTCCTGCCTCATCCATGTCTGTCACAGATCCTGGAACTCTTGGGTTCCTACCCAGGACCCATTGTGCTGGAGAATAGCCTTGGACTCTTTGCATGTGGTTCTTCACGGAAGTGCATTCATGCAAACATGTTTCAAATGCATTGCGGCCAACAGCTTCCATGTCATGGATGGTCTTCCTGAGAATTGCCTTCAAGATACCTTGGTGCCTTTCAACCTTGCCAATGGCTGACGGTGTTTCCAATGGTGCATAGAAAATCTCGACACCGTGCGAAGCGAACAGCTTGGACACCTCACCTCGGTTGTGGACACCTCTATCCATGATTGCAGCCTTTGGAAAACCTGCCCAACTGATCCATCTGCGAAGGATAGCTTGTGCACAGGCTTCTGACGTTGGCATACCTCCACCTTCTTTGACAACCTCTGACAAATGGAATCCTGTCGAAATGTCCAGCATCGTGAGAATGCTGTACTTGTTCCCTGCATAGTCCTTCATTTCTGTGACGTCAAGACCAAGCATGGCATTGAATTCATACTGGAAATTACTATTTCCTACCGGATGATCACGGGGACGTGGTGCAGTGTCTTCGCAGGACTGACAACGGACAAGACGTGCGGCTTCGATCAACTCTTTGCTTGCCTTACCTGCCTTTAAAATATTCTTCAAAGTTGACGGTGTGGGATGTCCGAAGTGCCGATGCAAGCGACGAATTGCAATGCGAGTCCTCTGGGGGAGAGCACGCCACAGTCGTCTCCGTTTCTGTTCCGTCATGTCGGCTCCGGGCAATGCAAGTTGATCTAGCATGAGTTCTTCCTGTTCTCTTGCCGTCAACGGTTTTCCATCGTCATGTTTGGTTTCCCGGAGAACTCCCTCAATGTCACTGTCCTCAATTTCAGAGATGTCTTCAAGTTCGTCTGCCACAAAACATGTCCGTGCAAAATGCTCCAAGTAAGTTTCTTCTGACATGGCGTTCAACATCTCTAGAAGTCTTGCCGTTTCGCGTCCTCAAAACATTTTGGAATCATGTTCTCTCCGCACCAACCTTCCAGCGCCTCCAAGAGCTTGGGGCTTTGTGGACCTGCCAAGGCAAACTCTAGGTCACCACCAAGACAAATGGAATGTTCAACAGATATCTCGAGAAGTGGTGTGAAAAGAAGAAGGTTGCAACCATACATGTCGACTTCCATGAGCATATCATTCCAAATCCTCCTGGGGTCCGTGTTCTCCAAAAACAGTACAACCAAACCAGGGATCTTATTCGAAATGTGCTTGATGACCTCCTTGCGGGTCTTCACCCAATTCGCACCTATATCGAATACCTTTGCACTCTGGGGTGCATTGATCAACATGTCATCCTTGACAATGACCATGTGTTGCACACTCAACGGGTTGTTCGAAACTAGTGCATGCAAGACTGAGTCGTTCTCTTGCAAGGTCTGCAGGCCGGCGACAAACACTTGTTTTTCTCCTTTGTTCATAGTTCGATGATCCAGAGCTACGAATGCATGACCTTCGCTGTCGGAGCTCAGTTCGATCTCTCCTTGGAAGCGGCTCATGATGAACTTGTCTCGGTCGAGCACCTCGCGCGAGCTGGTCGGACGATCCGGAGTGCTTCGTGTACTCATGGTAACTACGTCATCGTCTGACAATTCCTCTTTGGGTGCGTTCGACGGATCGATAGCTGTGCAGCCATGGAACGGTTCAACAGGTTCAGCATCAAGTGCATCGTCCATGTTCTCCTCCTTGGGAGTCTCTTCTGCCGTCTCCACTGGTTTTGCCATCTCTGTGGTCTCTGTCTTCGTGCGTTTCGAGGGTCCTCCGCTCAGCCCGTCTCCATTTTCTTCATCATCACCAGGCGGTCCCTGGCCACCATTGCCCTCATCATGGTCATCGCCTCCTGGGGGCTCTTCTTCTTCCTCCTCGACATCTTCGTGTTCTTCAGGTCTTGCAAATGGAGGTGAGAAGATCAAGATCCTGCCCTTGACATACCAGTCAAGCTCTTGTGGCTGGTTCTCCAAGTTGCTTCTCAACAATGTCATCTCCCACTGGCCTTCAA